TGGTTTATTTTCTGTCCCCACATTCTAAAATAGACATTTCAGGCTGGGCATGGTGGCGCACGCCTGTAATCCCAGCATGGTGGCGCACGCCTGTAATCCCAGCATGCTGGAGGCTGAGGCAGGATTGTTGTGAGTTTGAGACCAGCCTGGGCTACAAAATGAGCTCAAGGCCAGACTGAACTGCATAGTCTCAACCTTGTCTCAAAAAGACAACAACAACAACAAAAACCTAGACATTTCTATTTCTGTTTGCGAAGACCCTTTCTAAAATACTTTCTTTTCCCTATTCTTGTCTATCTGAGATTGTTTAATTTCTTCAGTCAGTAAATACCAGCTGAGTGTCTGCTACGTGTAGTGCTCTGTCCAGAATGCTGGGGTAAGAACAAGCTTCTGTCCTTACCTAATTTATATTCTGGGAGGAAAAACACAGGTTGCAAAAGGAATTAAGACTTAATCATAGTTGTGATAAGTGCCAAAAATATGAGGAAAGTAAGAGAACCTAAAATGGGAAATGACCTATCTGGGAGTCATGAGGTGTTCTCATGCACTGCGACAACGTTTTTGAAAAGTAATACGGTTGTTTCCCTCTTTGCAGCCTCACCCTTGTGATAAGCCACTCAGTTGGAAGCTCCTCTAATTCTTTCTGGGAGAGCTGTGCCTACCCCACTGCCATTGGAGGTAACCCCTGCAGTGGTGCTGGGTCTTCATTGTAATCAGCGGCTCCAGGTTGAGTCCTTTATTGGGCTCTGTTGAGCATGTGGGTTAGGAACTGCGGATAAACTCCACCAGCGCTTTGATATCTTTGGATGTTTCTGAGGCATAATTGGTGAAAAAACTGAAAACTATGCACAAGTCCGTGAATAAGAAATAAGGAATAAAAAACTGAGTGTAATGGTGCATACCTGTAATCCCAGCACTCTGGGAGGGTGAAGCAAGAGGACTGCAAGTTTGAGCCCAGCCTGGGCAATTGAATGAGATTCTGTCTTAAAATTTTAAAAAAAAGGGATGTAGTAGTGTGAAGGTGCTAGGTCAGAGATGGCGAATCCTTTACAGCTTTCAGTGTCACAGACAGCACATGTGGCACATGTGCCATAGGTTCGACACCACTGTCTTAAGTTCAAGCTAATAAAATGTTAACATCAGTTACCTCTAAGGATGGAGACTTCTAGAAGATTTCATTCCTCTAATGGAATGAATTATTTGCTTTTATATTATATAGGTTCATGTTCCTTGTTAAAATTTTTTCACTTGTCATTACAATTTTTAGAAAATTATTTTTGGTTGGATAAAGGATGACTTCAGTCTTCCTTAGCCTATCCAATTATACTTGTCCACCGGGGCTATAGCTCAGCGGTACAGCGCCTGCCTGGCAAGTGCAAGGTCCTGAGTTCAATTCCCAGCACACACACACACACACACACACACACACACACACACACACACACAAATAATTGGGACCCACCATTGTACTCATCCAATACAATAAACATTCTAAAAATACTCAAGAAAGGAACAGAGGTGACCAGAAACAGGTTTAACTACGTTTGTTAGAGATAAAAAAGATTAATGGCCTGACGTAGCAGTGTAGAACTTCTAAGTGAACAATGGCAGAGAGGGAAAGAGTTACTTGTTTAGGCTGGCAAAATAAAATGGGAAAAAGTGAAAAAAAGCTAAGTATAATTTAAAAAATCAACACCAGTGGAAGAGATAAGGCCACTCTGCAGTTATTTCATAAATGTAAAAGCACTGAATTTACCTGTTAAATGAAAAACACCTTTCA